ACTAGAGTAGGCCTATAGTATCAATCATGTGACTATTACTAGGCCTAAGCTAATTTTTAGGTCTAATAGTACTACATGGCTGATTTTGCACAACTGTGGCAAGGCATTGTGGGTAGGGAAACCGAAAAGGGTCAAAGTTTGCCCCTTGTTTCCTTCCCAAGATGCCTTTACATGTATACTATTGTGCAAAATCATTCTTACAGTTGCAGTGTGACGAGAAGGTTTATACATCTCACACTTGGCACTGTTCATCTAAACTAAGCCTAGGCCTACAGGTAGCTATGGCGCTTCATTCTTAGACCCCTACCCTTACCCCAGAACTGTAGGGTCAGACGTCCGCCCCGTTCCCACAAACCCCAAAGAAAATGAGCCTTTTTCGCCATATAGGCACTGCATGTGCATGACATTTAACAGGGCATGAACAAGGATCTTATTCTGGTTGTGCACCCATAGAAATGCTGCTCCATTTCCCCCAACTAAGATAGCTTACATACCTTTATACTGAGTACCAAAACAAACCAGGCCCAAACCCTGCCCCACAACCTTATTTTAAAGATGGCAACTGTGAGAGCGAGCCAGTGAGATTGAATGGGTGAAGGCAAAAAGACTGGAAAATACCAGAACAACGTGAGTGAAATCATTCAATAAATGGCACTAAGAAAGCGGAGAGGCTAAGGATCATCTCTGTGTACAAAAGAAATTGCGCCCACGATAATAAGTGGGTGCGCCGAAAATTTTCAGTACGTCAACACGAAATTGCATATATGGATGTGTGGCTAAGGATGGAGCAGGAGTGAGAGTCCGTGCCACACTAGTGGGGCTAGCCAAAACCATGCTGCAAGGGTCTTACAAGTATTAGGGGGCAGAACCAAACCAACAGACTGTACGCACGTGTAATGTATTGTACTGTAAACGCCGGCTAAGTCGGCTCTCTCGCTTGGGACATGAGATCATGGTTAAGTTACATGTAGTTCAATATGGCGACCCCCCAAATGGACAGAACGCATGTGTGTAACACTAGAGGAGTCACTGGTATTGATGTGCTCAGCCACGTGCTGTTGATAAGCAGACATCAATCAAGCAGTGTGGTGCTTGTCACTTGACGCTTCTTGGCAACCACTTTGAAGGAAACCGATACCAAAATGCGATTTATTTAATGCTGACTTATACTATGAATTTTTTGTGGTCTTATAGAAAAGGGACTGAGTGAAACATGCTGACTTATGAGAAATGAATGACAACTTAGAAATACTGACTTAGAAATGAGATGAGGGCATCAATACCAGTAGCCCCTCTAGTAACATGCATGTGCTCTGTCCATTTTGGGGGTTGCCTTATTGAGCAAACTTTACCGCTAATATGTGCATGAAAATGGGTTTTTCCATGCGGTGCCATGATATGATTTGATAATTTAATGTCCACAATTTCAATGTTAAAAGTTTCTTTCCACCAGCAATAGAGTTTTAAATATTATAGAGATAATACGTATACGTCATTTTTAACGTGGCTCTCAAGACATAGTAGTGATGTCAGTCGCGTTTATTTTATGAATGGAAAATGACGTCATCACGATAATATCGGATATTGCGATATTTTTTCATGATATTGCGATATAAAAGAAGTGAATATCAAACAGGCTTAATTTTGCCTTCTATAGGCATGTTGATGGTTTGTTGACGGTACTGTGCATGTTGACGGTAATTAGTAGGAGTGCTTAATGGTATAATTTCCATGATGTTCCAGTTACAGTTAGAGCATCGCCATTCGTCATGAGTGTTGCGCCAGGAACAGAAGAATCAGATGGCTTTGTGGTCAGGGCCAGGGGTCTCCCGTGGTCATGCACCCACCATGAAGTCATGAAATTCTTTGATGGTATGTCAGAGTAAGGTTAACCTGTATTATATGTAGCATTGTAGCTATTGCATTCCATCCCAAATCACTACTGCATAGATGTCAAAATGACAAACAAAATTCAAACCCAAACACTTGTGAAAGTCTAATAACCATACAACTGATCATTTTTTTACTGATATGATTTATTTGCCTTGCAACATACAATAACATACATGTAATAGCAGAAAGAATAAATGTGTGTATAAATGCATTAATAATAAGTAGATCGCAATAAAAATAAATCAAGACTATACAAAAATTTGTGGAAAGAGCAGGGATGATGCAAAAAAGTTGTAAAAACTGATTTCCATTGCAGTCCCAACTCCAAGATATTTGTGACAACTTGAAAGTCCATCAAAAGATTTAAGCTCTGACTCAGTTCTTGATTTGCTTGGTGTTGTCATTGCAGCTGTACATTTTTCATGCAGTGACATAGACGGAAATATCCAGCACTGCAGACTTATTTCATGACACAACCCAGAAGTGAAAACCACAGAAAAAAATTGGGTTGCTTCTTGTACAAGGGAATGCTCAAATATATTACACTTTGGCATTTTTACAGAAATATCACCACCATTTGTACACTTACATGTATCCCATGGATCACACACAAGATAGTCTGATGCCGTCATGGTTTTTGCTTTTACTCCAAGGGTGTAACATTTTAGGTGGTAAGGATGGAATCCACTTCACGTTCAACAAGAACGGCAGGCCTAGCGGAGAATGCTTTGTTGAGTTTGAAACAGAAGAGGACTTTGAACAGGCCATGACAAAACACAAAAAAGAAATTGGATCACGATACATTGAAGGTACAGATATCGATTCATGAGGAGATTATCTAAAT